CCCGCGGCCGTGGCACCGCTGGCAGCGGCCGCCGCAGCCCCCGTGCCCTGACACCTCCCGGGCCGGGGCCGGCGCTCTCCCGGGGGTCCCACCGCCACGGACCCTTCCGAGACGCCCCCGAACCGCGCCCGGCGCTGCGGGCCGGCCTGCGGTGTTTACCTTCGTTTTAACTCATGCGGTGCCGCAGGGTCCCGGTGAGCACAACCGTCCCCTCTCTGCGGAGGCATTCCTCTTTGAAAGGATCCGTAAAAAGGCGGACACCCCGTTTCCCGTCCCACCGTCCGTGTTCTTTGGACACCGGCTGCTCCTCTCCCCTTCCCGAGAGCTCGGAGCCGCCCGGGGCTCCCGGGGAGAGCGGTCCTTGCTCCGGGGCAGCCACAGTCAGAGCAATTAGCCAGCTTTAGCCGTATTCGTGCATTACTTGGAGAAGAACCAACAAGCTGAAACCCCTAAAACTATCTGAATTTTAGTCAAATGCACCAAATCAAATTGTTTGAAAAATAAACAGGAGGGCTGCAGAAGAAAAACGAGGCTGGGTCCAGTGCAGAGCTGGGCCTGGGGCCACCCGTCCTCCCCCCAGCCCGGAGGGTAAAAACACTTCCCAGAGCTCCGGGGACAGGAGGACCCCGACCCCCATCCCCGTGAGATGACCTGCCCTCCCCTCCGAGCGTGGGCACCCAGCCCTTACTGAGCAGAAATAAAATAACAAATTGGCTGAAATAAAAGCATCTCTGGTGGGTTGGATAACAAGCTCATGCTGCAGGGAATGATGAATGATTTATCTACAGCTCCAGGAACAGGAGACGCCTGAGATTCCCTTCACTGCCCAAGGTCAGACTTTACCTTTCGGAGCATCCACCTGCTTGTCTTCTGCACCTTCAAAGCAGCTTGTCCTGAACGGAGTAAAAATTGCTGGATTTGGGATCCTCTCTATTTGATCTTTCACACTAGCAATTTGAACGAAGTTTGAAAATTATTACCTTAAGTGATTAGAATTCTTTTCTACACGTTATTCTTAAGATTTTGTTTTCAACAAAAGCTAGAACCCATGACAAAACCAGTGCAGTCAGTGGCACCAGAAGTGAAACTGTAACAAAAGAATTCAGAGTTGTTCTCTGCAGAGCAGGTCATCTGGAGAGTTTCAGTGTCTCTGTAGGTTGACAGAAATAAAATATTGAAGGCGAATTCCAGAGCATGCCAAAGAACAGCAATGAGGGGGCAGGACGCAGCTCTCCTGCAGCAGCTCCTGAGGCACAGCCACCTTGGCCTTCCCGGGAGCAGATGGTAGATCTCTGGTGCCTTCTAATGGAGAAGAGGAAAGGCTGAGCCCTCTCCTCCAAGAGGCTCCTGCCACAAACCAGCTGCCCTCTGGGCATTCCCAAACCCTTCCTCTCACCCCAGCCTTCGAACAAAGCCCCAGGATCTGCTAAGGTCTGAGGGAACAAAGCACCAAATTCCTGCCACTGAATTAAAAAAAAAAAAAAGTTTTCTCTTTTACTCTTTTACAACTTTAACTATTCGGACAACTATATTTTTCTTTCAAGTACCAAACTAATTTTTTAGCAATGGCTTACAAAAATAGAGAAGTTTAGCCACATTTACAGTACCTATTTCCCAAACCTTAAGCCCTAAAAGAAGTGAAATTATACTTTGCAGCCTCAGCTGTAACTCTCTGGTGACCTTTAACATTATGGTATGTCTTCCGAGCACCAGATTTTAATACCCATTGCTGGCATCTCTTGTGGCTAAAGTGGGCTCACTTTCACACTGGTGCCCACAGTCCCTATGGAATTAGAGGTATTTTGTATGTTTTGCAGTTCTATAGGTGGATGCTGATTCAAAAGTATAGGTATCGATACACATACTTAATTGAGCTTAAAACTGGGATGTTGACTATTTTAATCTACTTCATTTAGTTTCCCCAGCGCTTTCATCCCACCAAATCCCCTGCCCAAGTCCCACCCAGCGCTGGAGGGACAAGGTCTTCACCAGCACCAGTGGTTCCACCACCAGCCACCACGGGGCACTGAGGACTGATGTTCTCCTTTCCAGACTGACACAGAGACCATCACCTTGATTCCCGTACCCACACGGTGTCCTCAGGAGAGGTGAAGCCTGTGGTGGGGAGCACCATGGCTGACCTTCCCTCAGCCCCAGCAGCTCCTGGGGCCCAGTCCCTTTGCTGCGCTTGGTGTGACATGGGGATACAGACCACCCAGGGCTCCCTCCAGCAGCTTGCTCTCCCATGAGCAGGGAATAAGGGTCTTCTGGATGGGCAAATCCATCTGGGGTGTCAGCTGACCCATCGTACCCATATGGAAGCAAGGACTCACTTATTCCAGCTGAGGATCAAACCACTGTCTACTAATAAAGAGACTGCAAACCCTGCCAGGGGGGTGGGGAGGAATGATACTATTCCTCTGAAGGGCCCTTAAAAGTCATTAGAGATGAGATTTGCTTAAGAAAAGTCATGAGAAGAGACTCTTTCTCCAAGGCCACAACTTCAAGTGTGGCAGTGCACAAAAAGATCATTGTCTGCAGCAGACCATGTGAAACGGTGCCAATATCATACATTGGCTTGAATGAAAGGCTTTGGAAAGCACTAGGAGAGATGGATAACCTAAACAATGAACATCCCTGTTAGGGTTTGGAGGCTTTTTTATTAGCTTATATTTGACAGATATAATTGCTACCTTTATCCTCAAGAATCAAAATGGTCCACCCCCAGGAGGTATAAAGTCCAAATTGCCGCCACAGACAAGAGAACTTTGGTGTGAATACTTCCTGTCTATTCTGGACCTTAGCTTTAACCAGAAAAGAAGAAAACATTGAACAATTTGGGAGATGGAGGAGTCGATGTAGCAGAAGTTCTGCTGCTGGCATCACAGCACCTTGGATGTCAGCTGCATCCCCTGGGACTTCTCGTGTCCCTGGCCCCGGGTCAGGAATATGTCATCCAGCCCCTGCTCCCACACCAGGTCCCTGTGCTCAGTGCTGCTTTACCCCACTGGTGCCCCAGAGGAGCCCAGAGCCCACAAAGGAAGGGACTTACTCACAACCAGTTGCTACTGCCAAAGTGGAAACCTTTTGGCTTCTGTTCACCACGGGCACAACTCGTTCACAGTCCTAACCCCTGTGCAGATGCCTCTTCCCAGCCTCAGGAGACACAGCGCAGAATAAGAAAGGAGACATTCATGCATTTCCCCTGCCAGGGAAGGAACTGAACCAACCCAGCTGACTGCAGCCCAGGGCTGGGGATGCTGTTAGACAGCACTCTGCACAATTCAAATCTGCAGATGTTTCTGTTAAGGTGAGAAAGCTGCACTTCCAAAGTGAGTGAGGTGCAGCAGAGTCTGCTGGGAAGAGCAGGGCCGATACACACACCCGGCAGCTCTTCTCATCCCTCTGGGCATCCAGCAGATCCCATGCCCTGCCTGCAGTTTGTTAAATTGCAACAATTATACCTGTACTAATGAAGTAACTAGCAGAGCTGTAGGGAAAGGAGAACAGTCAGTTCTGCCACTGACACATCCCTGCACAAACTCCAGCAAAGCAGCAAGAAGGCGTTCTGCGGGGGAGCGAAGGTTGCACCCATTGACCAGCACAAAACATCTAAAGCAATGCAGAATTGCAGATACCCTGCCAGTATCACGGGCTCATTTTGGTTTAAAAAGTACTGTGATTTTAAAATCGCTGCTACCAAACAGATCCAGCTCAAAAAAAGGGAAGCCTGTGTGTGACTTACCCAATTCACAGACTCCTGGGACCTCACAGAGTCACTGCACCCCCTCCTGACACGTGCTGTTGGGTGGCTTGTCCAAAAACATCTCGCATAACTTTTTCATAACGCAAACCACAGTATCCCAGAGCCTGAATTAAAAGAGAATTTTTCAATACACCAGTCCCTGCAAGATTGCTGTTAGGGTCTGAGCTCCAGCTTGGAGAACAGGCTGAGTAAGAGCTGCAGGGTGTGAAGTGCCAGGACTCTTCAGCTAGGGGTCACTAGAAATTAAAGCAGAACAGGATTTCAGAATGTAAAGTTTCTCCAGAGGGAGGCCATACTCTACAGAGAAGACTACTGCATAAAAAGCTTTTATATATTAATGGTAATGTTAACTGAAGCTCCATATTCCTCCCATAATACTACTCCTGGTAAAGAGATTGCAAAATTGCTTTGCTGGAACCCACTGGTGTACATTACCCAATCCCATCAACAGACTGCCACGTGCAACCCAAACAGATGCTCGCCCACCCCTATACATCGTTGAGGGCTCACCTTGTTCCAGGACTGAATGCAATGCAATTAGAGCAGACATCATAAAACTAATCAATATCCACGTGCAGCTTTTTCCCAGGCATATTTGATTTTTAAAAGAGTTCTTCGAATTCTTAGAATAGAAAGGCATTTAATTTGCATGCGGGGAAGAGAGGGACCACGCTTGCAGGCAAGCTTTCTTTATACATCAATATCACAAGATGTGCACTTCATTAGTGAAATCCTACCCTTACAGCCAGAGCTGGTGCTTTGAAAGAAGCAAGTCCAAGAATTACAGGGGATGTCTACATGGTCCATGGAGAATTTGCAGAAGTGAAGTCTGCAATAAAACTTAAAAAACACAGCAGCATTCTTTAAATCAATCCTCCCCAACGTATCAAATGTGAACTCTGTTACTAAAGGCTTTTTTTCCAACCTGGTTTCTGTAATATTGCAGGATTTGTGCTTCAGGAGTCAGGAGGTACCACAGGCCAAGAAACCTCGTCTGCTGCTCTCAGCATTTCCAGCGCAAAGAGGGAAAAAATGGTCCCTGGTGTAAACGTGAGAACTACAGTGGTGAGGACAGGAACAAGTCCTGGTCTTTAACCAGCTCTCACATTATTTCTAGGCCCAGAGTGAAATTCGAAGCAAGCTTACACCCAACCATAAAGCACTGCTTGAATGCAAACTAAGAAGATGCTCATTCTGTTATTCAGGACACTTTTCATGTGTCTGTCTGGACTCAACTAGTAGAGAAGACAGGAGGCCATGTCACAGCGGTCAGAGATTAATAGTGGAAATCAGGAGTTCCAGATGAATTTTCTCAATGTCTTGGACACCTGTGAGACAGTTAAATTTCAGCTGTAAAAACACCATACATAATCATGTGCTCATGACCTTATACATATATATATATACACACACCCACACACACCTTATATGCAACTGGCTTTTGTTTTGTAGGTGCTTCGTATTTTGAAGAGTTCAGAGATCCAACTTCACATTCTTGTTGTCAAAAACTCTTCATGAATGCCTTCAGCAGCAACTGTTTCTGAGAAATGCTTTGAAAACATGGAGAAAATGTCATCAAACACATGGCTGTTTGTGGCTTCTTCAAAACGATCATATAAAATGAGACAGATGTGTTTATACCCATAGAAATTTTTGCAAAATGCTAGTAACTGAACATCATTAGAAACATTAGAATTAGAACCCACAGATGTTAAACTGACATTAATAAAGCTTCAGCATAAGGCATTTACAGGTTAACAAATGTAAAAAAATCAGGATCAAATAATTCTGGTGGTTACTCAGGGGGAGAAGTCAAGGTGAGGCAGCAGACTTTACCTAGAGCACACACAACATCCTCATCCCACGCAGACACAAAACCCTACGCCTTGACCTGGAGCAGGTGGGAAGACAGAAGGTCTTCAGTCAACAAAATAACACTTGGTCTTTTAGATAAATGTTATCAAATAACAGCCATCGAAGTAAAGGGATAGTTACAGTTAGACCCTGTACAGTACCCATTACAGTTTGTCCCTTTAATGACAAAACAATAAATAATGTTATGAACAATGAGGAAATTACAACAGCATAAACTTAACCACAACAATTAGAAAGAGAGGTATTTGTTCATTGGTTTGCTTAGGTCAAAGAATCAGAGATCTTATTATTGCCATGACTCTATAAAGAAAATCTTACATATAGAAATATTCCTGTCCCAGATGGGCTCGATTGCCATATTTGCTTTCCAGTTTTTATAATTCGCACTTCAAATCTCTGAGGAAAAAAATTGCTCTAACAGCTGTTGATTTGTATGAACTAACTTGCATAAATGTTCTCCCTCCTATCCTTCAGGGAAAAGTCTGAGTAAACACGAGCCAGGGAAATCTATTCCCTTAGAAAAAGTCATCTTCTGGCAATCTGAAAAACTTGGTCCTTTGCAAAAGTCAGTCAATTCAGCATTACAGATTTTTCCTTCATGGGTAAATCATGTAAGTCACGGTGAAACCAGACACACCACTGGAAAGGTGCTGTACACTCCCTTGAGGCCACCTCCAACATTTGGCTGCCAAAGTACCACTGTGGCCAAGGAATGGCCACCATTTGCCAGTCCCAGTGCCGAGCACCGCGGTGTCTGACCTCCCTCTGCAGGCCCAGCAGCTCCCATGGCCTGCTCCAGCACTCACCCCAACACAGCACCTCCCAGCTGAGACCACAGCTAGCTGGAAGACCTGTTTTTTGGCAAGAAAACCTCTGCAGTTCTTAAACTCATTTCTCTTTCATGTTTCAATAAACGTGGAAACATCTGGCAGACCTTCCATCTTCTGATATAAAAAGCAGTGTTTCTCCTGGGAAATGAGTCCACTCTCAGACTCCAGAATTTCCCCACTGAGAATTTAAAAATGAATTCCTTTTAAAATTTAAAAAATCCCGAACTTTCCACTGGATATTACCCAGGAAGAGATTTACTGCAGTGCACTAGCAATGCACAAGAGTCTGGAATTTTTCCCTTGTTTCTTTTCCTACTGGCAGCATACTGGTGTTTCCTTAGCTCTGACCTAGGCAGTGAGAATCCTGACCACCTGAAAGTGGAATTGACCGTGAAGTTCTCCCAGCGTAATTCCTACCATATAAATAGTGACTAAAGACCAGAATTTTAATGGGTGCTTAGTGAAGCAGAAGGGAACCCACATGTTTTTGCTGGTCTGTTCTTCCATACTGAAGAGCTCTGAGAGGCTGAGGCAGCAGACCCTTATGCTCAGGATGATGGTGTGCTGCTTATTATTCAGGGTTGCATACCCACGTATTAAACTTCAGGAATTTTTCTGGTAACAGGAGTCTAGTGATCTGGGATGGAACCTAGAAAGCCTAAAGGAAAGCACAAAGCACCAAGTTACCTCTGCCAGCCCCGTGCTCAGCACCTGCTAGCGAGTCTCAGGTGAGAGCTACAGAAATGCTTAATTACAGAGAGTGAATAATTAGTGATATCTCTCACAGGCAGACACATACCATCTTCTGTAGCAGCTCTCGTGATGCAAACCCACACCGAGGAGCCCAGGGCAGAGCCGGCAGCGGCTGGGCCCCATCCCGCACCCTGCACAGTGGGATTTTAAAGTGGGCTGCTGTGATTTACAGCCGCGTGAGTCGCTCGTTATTCCTGGGGCTACGGACGGACGGAGCCGCCACCGGGGAGGGAACAGCTCTCACCCAGAGCATCCGCACGCAGGAGGGGTAAGCGCTGCGGGGGACACCCCGATCCAACCGGGGACGCACCCCCGCACCGCACCCCCGCGCCGCGCCCCCCCGTAGCCAGGCTCAGCCCCGCTGCCCGGCCTCCCGCTGCCCCGGGCTGCGGCCGAGGGAACCGGGGCCGG